GGGAAGGAGGAGCTGGCAGCATCACTTCCGCTTCCTCTGCCCTTAGCGTACCCCCGCCGCAAGCAAGGTTCGCCATCTTTAACGAGGGCAGCCAAGCTGAAGACGACCGGAAATGAGCCCCCCCCCCCGGGAGTCGCCATCTTTACTGAAGGAAAACTGCCTGCGAGAAAGAGTCTTACGCGCGACGCCATCTTCACTGAGGGCACGGAACAAGCCCGCCACAGCGGAATCTGGCTCTCAGCGCCATCTTTACTAAGGGCCCCAGGAGGCGATGGGAGCTCCCGTCTTTCTTTAAAATGGAGGCGAGTTACTCCACCACCGCTGCTTTTGTGGAAAAACTTTCCAGCTCTCTACACTGGCCGCTTGAATTTCCGCAAGAACACTGACGCTCTCATGTAAGATTGTCAGTGTTGTTGCGGAAATACTGGGCTGCTCCCGTTCACGCAAAAGCCCTCTTGGGCGAATGCTTTTGGGCAAGAGGGCCAGTGTAGACAACGGGTTATTGTTTTGTGCAAAAAAAGCCCCGATCGCAAAAATGGCAATCGGGGGTTTCTTGCGCAAAACCGCGTCTAGATTGGCACTAGTGCTTTTGCAGAAAAGCGTCTGTGCAGAATTCTGCTACAACGACCTTTTACATCTGCACTTGAAAGGGAATCCTCTGAACTGTCATTCATGTTAAAATTCGACACTTTCCAAAAAGGACTCAACAAACACTTGAACTATCTCACCCATTACCAAGATAGTTTCCCCAATTATCACCTCTAATACCATTAACTCACAAACATCCCACTCTCCCTACCTTTAATATCAGCAATTCACAGACACTTACCTTCCTTCCTCCCCCTTCCCACCCCCCCGCCTCCTCCTTCTGTTCTGCAATGTGATTTGTCCTTTTCATATTTGTTCACTTTTTTTTTAATTGTATCCTTTGGTATATATGGTTGTGACTACTTTCTTCCACTATTTGATCTGAGGAAGTGGGTCTGGCCCACGAAAGCTCATCATCTAATAAACCATCTTGTTAGTCTTTAAAGTGCTACATTGTCCTGCATTGTGCCAATGTAGACACTCTTTTCCGCAAATGCTTTTAGCAGAAAAACTTTTCCGTTAAAAGCATTTGGGAAAATCATGCCAGTCTAGACGTAGCCCTAGTGTTCTTTCTCCCTGCCTCCCCCAATGCCTGGAGAACAGCTGCAGCAGTATCCTTTTCTTACCCTTCATAGGCCTTTGGAGTAGGTGCACAGCTCTAGGGAGCTCTTCATGCCTTCTCCACTTCCCAGGCCTGGCACTGAAGAGATGGAGAGAGCAGAGTGAACCATTGCTCATGGAACCAAGAATGGGTGAAAAGAGGAAACATAGCTGCTCAGCCCTGGAGATACTAAGTACCCTCTCAAAGAATGGAGAAGAAAGGCAGCAGAAGGGTGGCAGTTGCTCCCTCTCTGTTCCCAAATATCTTCTTGGCTACTATAAGAGGTACATAAATGGGGTTTGGAGAAGACAGCCAGAGAAGTCTTCCTACAGGCAGAAATTAATTCCAGGAGAAGGTTAGACTTTCTGATGCCATCAGGAGATTGGTTTCAGCCCCAGAAGAAATAATTTTATCTGCAGAAATTATGGGAGCTGTTAACATTTGCACAGAGTTTAAGGCCAAAAGAGATTATTAGATGATCTACTCTGATCATCTGTATATCACGGGCCATTAAATTTCACCCAGTTACCCTTATACTGAGAAAGATAACTTGTCTGAATAAAGCATATCTTCAAGAATGTGATCTGAAGATATCAAGATGGCAAATCCACCATTTCTCTTTGTAATTTGTTTACATCATTAATCACCACCTCACTATTCCACAAGTGTAATTTATATGTCTGGCTTCAGCTTCAAGACATTGGTTCTTATGCTGCCTTCATCGGCTAGATTAAAGATCCTGTCACTATGTGCTATTTTCTCCCCCTGAAGATACTTATACCCTAATCAAATCACCTCAATCTTGTTTTTTGATAAATTAAACTGATTGAGCTCTCTACATCTCACTTATTTTTTCAAGCTTTTCAGTAATTTTGAGGCTCTCTTCTATTTTGTGCCTCTCCAATTTGTCAACATCTCTTTTAAAATATGGACACCAAAACTGGATTTGGTAATCCACTATCAACCATATCAGTGCCATATGTAGAGGTAAAATCTTCCTGCTCATTGCTCCCCTGATTTTACATGCAATGACCATATTGGCCCTTTTTGTCACTCTAGCTGATGAGGTGCTTGTTCACTATGATCCCTAAACCTTTCTCACTGTCTACAAAAATAGTCACCCATTCTGTAGGTATAGCCTGCATTCCTTGTTCCTAGGTGCTTAACTTTGTATTGAATGTATTTAAATGCATTTTCTCTGAATGAGTCTAAATTGCTATGCAATCCAAGCAACTGTGTTTGTAACAATGTTGCTGGAGGGTTGATTATAACACAAAAAGCAACAGGCAGCATTCAAAAATCTGTTGGTCAATTGAGACCATTGCCTATCATTAGGGTCCTATCAAATTCACAGTCTATTTTGGTTAATTTCAGTTGTAGGATTTTAAAATTTGTAAATTTCATGATTTCAGGTATTTAAATCTGAAAGGGCACAGTGGTTTAACAGTAGCGGCCCCAATCCAGATTTTTTTTTTTGAGGAAGTGATCTCAAGGTCATTATAGGGAGATTATATTACTTCTACACTGCTGCTAGTTACACCTCTGGACTTAGAGCTGGGTAGCTGGAGAGCAATGGCTACTGTCCTGGAGTGTAGCTCTGAAGGAAGCATCATCACTAGTAGCAGAGCAGAAGTAAGGGTGGCATGGTATGCGTGACAGCACAGTCGAGGTTCCCTTGGTCCTGCAGCCCCGTAGCAGCAAGAACAGACTCAACCAGCCAGTAGAATAGAGAGGGTTTATTGCTTCTCCAGGGTACAGCATTGCACAGATGTGATGTGGTTACAGGAGTCAAGGCCAGCATGCCTCAGATCCCTGAAGTTAGGGGGTCCATCTCCCCCCCCCAGACCCTCAGTCCTCAGCTTAGGTTGTTCCCTTAATGTTTTCCAGCCAGCAACTGACCCTTCCCCCGATACCTGATGATCATCTCTGCTTCCCTCCCTTTGTCTCTCCCCCTGGGAAGAGCTTTGCTAACTGCCCAGGCTGGTCCTAAGTGTCTGGGCCAATACACATGTGGGTGAGTCAGTGGAAATCACACATCACAGCGCAGGGGGGACACCAGGTTACAGAGCAGCCAGCACCCCCACGACATCACAGTATGGTATTGCCACAGTTACTTCTGAACTGCTGCTTGTGGGGTGCTGCTTTCAGAGCTGAGTGTCTGGCCAGAAGCCACTGCTCTATGACCACTCAACTCCAAAGGCAGTTCAAAAGTAAGGGTAACGATACCATGAGCCCCTTTTACAAGAATCTTGTGACCCTCCACAATTCCCTTTGGGTTGGGATCCCCAGTTTGAGAAACACTGAGGCTGTCTACACTGGTGGCATCTTGCACAAGGGTTCTTGTGCAAGAACTCTTGCGCAAGAAAATGTCCACACTGCCATGTGCAAGCTGTGCTTTTGCGCAAGAGTGCCCATGGCAGTGTGGACGCTCTTTTGCGCAAGAAAGCTCTGATGGCCATTTAAGCCATAGGGCTTTCTTGCGCAAGAAATCGCTGCTGAACGTCCACACTGCCCTCTTGCAAGAGCTCCTGCGCAAGAGGGCTTACACCTGTTAAAGAGCACAGCTCTTCTGCAAGAAGCCTTCTCTTACCACCCTGTACTGTAAATCTTCTTGCGTGAGAGCAGGCGGGCAATGTGGACTCTTTCCGGAAGAACGGCCATTATTGCGCAATAACCTGCCAGTGTAGACATAGCCTGACTTCCCCAATTAAATCTATATAGTATAGATTGAAATCTGTCTTTTGAGTAATTTTACAGTCCGTGATGTTTTTCACAGCCATGAATTTGATAGGGCCCTGCCTATCATATCATATATAATATTGTCTCTGAGTTTTTGTACTCCCCAGTCTGATTGTCTGTATCCACTTCTTGTCTCTCAATTAATACTCAGATTGTGAACACTTTGGGGTCATGAACCATCTTTTTGTTCTGTTTTTTACAGTGACATGGGGTACTGGTCCATGACACGGGTTCTTAGGAACTACGGTAATACAAGTAACTTTTTAAATAGAAAGTAAAAAGGAAAATGACTTGACAAATTATTTACTTCATGTATTTTCAATAACTGAAATTTATTGCCTACAGTTCTTAGATGACTGAAAGCTATATTTAAAATAGCTGTATGATATTATGTAATTTCTACACAAAAATAAATGTTCATAAGTCAGCCAAAGAATGTCAGAACTTCTTTTATAACTGAAATGCCTTTACCATGTGCTTTATTTTGCGTGGGAAACTAGTATAAAGCAATACAGGTTGAA